GCTCTGATGATGCAGCTCTTTCCCAGTCCTATTTTGAGAGCCTTCTAACCTAACCAGAATATTCATAAAGTTGCGTGGTAATGTATCAGACAGTGTTTCTTTGCTATTCATAAGGTTTTCCCTGGCCAATTCTTTGAAAAGTGGATGGCCTGTTCCTTCTTCCTCGTCTGTCTCAGTCTGTAAGCTGGGCTGATATCTGTGCACCATGTGCATCCCGCTCGGTTTGAAACACCAGTGGCTCAGCCTCAAAACTCACATCAACACGTCATCATGGTAGGACAAACTGACAGACAAGTTTGTCTCCCTGTTGGAAACCTCTCCTACCACCCTTACCTGGGTTCCTGCAGCTGACTCCTCCTCTGTCCCAGTTCCTGGGCCTCTTAATCCCCTTTCTCCCACTCTCCTGCCTGCTGCTTTGGGCAAGTCTGGGTTCCCTCTCCTCACCTGGATCCCTGTGCCTGACTTACTAGAAAGGACAATAGGACTCCAGAATAATTGGATGGCAATAATACTAATTTGCATTTATCTAGTATCCCGGTACTTAAAAAAAAAATCATATTATTACGTTTAGTCTCCACAATTATTGTACCGCAACAGGAGTCATTATCTTCACTTTATAGCCAAGGAAAAAGGGAGGCTCTGATAAGTTACATAATATATTTAATATTATGCAGCTACTATCCCAGAAAGTGCAAACAGTTAAGCATTTGACTACTACCAGGGAGGTTGATGGTTCAAACCCTCCCAGAGGCACCTCAGAAGAAAGGTCTGTCAATCTGCTTCCAAAAGATTATAGCCTTGAAAACCCTATGGAGCAAGTCTACTCTGCATACATGGGGTTATCATGAGTTGATGATTAACCACAATAAGATAAGATTCAGATTAAGTACAACTGATTTCATAACTTAGGCACAGCACAATGCATTCTGTTTTCCTAAGCCTAGTCACCCAATGACTACAATCCCCAGGAAAGTGGGGTCAGGTAAAAGAGGACCTTAATTCTCACTAAGGATTAGCAGTGGCAAGAAGTAAAACTGTGCTTGAGAAAGATCATTTTGACTGTGATGTTCAGGGTAGAATTTTCTGGATTGGAAAAGATGTGGAGAGCTTGAAAGTCTGGGCAGGGACATGTAGCAATTGTCAAGCAGATTTCAATCTAGTATGTAAAGTGGCATTATTATGCTTTGGGTGATCCTAAGGGATGTCTGGGAGCTCTGGTAGCATAGTGGCTAAGACACTTGCCTGCTAACCAGATGGCTGGTGGTTCAAACCC